GGAGGGGGAGGGGAGGAGGAGGGAAGGAGGACGTAGGAGGGGAAGGGGTAAGGGAGAGGAGGAGGAGGGAACCAGTGCAGGAGAGACCGTCAGCGAAGGTAGGGAGGGTTCCTGATGCGAGGGAGAGCTGCAGGTTGCGTAGTATCATAAGTCGAAGGGGGAGAAGGAAGAGGAGGGGAAGGGAGGGGGAGAGAAGGGAGAGAGGGGAATGGGGGGAATGGAGGGAAGGAGGCAAGAGGAGGGGGACCGGGCGAAGGAGGAATGGGTGGAGAGGGGAGGGGATGGGGCTGTATCATATAAATATATATATAAATGAATAATTAAATAATTAGACCCAGCAAGTAAATGAAAGAAGAGAAATAAGAGGGAGGAGAGAGGGGAGAGGGGAGAGAGGGAGAGAGGGAGAGAGGGGAGAGAAGGGAGAATAAGGGGGAGGGGGGAGGGGGAGAGGGGGAGAGGGAGGGAGAGAGAGAGAGAGGAGAGGAGAGAAGAAGAGAGAGAGAGAGAGAGAGAGAGAGAGAGAGAGAGAGAGAAGAGAGAGAGAGAGAGAGAGAGAGGGGGGGGGGGGAGAGGGAAGGAGGAGAGGGAGAGGGAGAGGGGAGAGAGGGAGATGGGAAGGGAAGGGGAGAGGGAGAAGAGGGAGAGAGAGAGAGAGAGAGAGAGAGAGAGAAGAGGAGAGAGAGAGAGAGAGAAGAGAGAGAGAAGAGAGAGAGAGGAGAGAGAGAGAGGGAGGAGGGATGGTCCTCTCTCCCTTCCGGCTGTACTACCTTCGTCGTTCCCTCCCTCCCTCGCACGCTGCCTAGCTAACTTGATGCCCCTAGGGGGGGGAGTGGGCGAGGAGGTGAGGAGGCCTACGCCGCTCGCCTATTTAATGAGCGCTCCCATCCCTCACGCTGACCCACGCCTCGCGCCATCACCTCCCTCCTGCAGGCGTGTCACCGAGACTCCCTGCTCACCTCCCTCTCTGTCACCTGCCCCTCGGTCCCGTTTCTCCCCTCGCTCCTCCCTCACCCATGTCCCGTCTCCAGTCTCTCCCTTTCTTGCTCCCCGTCACCTGCCCCCCTCCCTTCCCTGGCACCTCACCCTGCCCCGAGCTTTACCCCTCCTCTCCTTTCTCCCTCCCTCCCTGCCACCTCCCCTTTCCCCTCTTCCCTCCCTCACCTGCCCCCCTCCTTTCTCCCCT